TATAAATTTAACAATTTTAAATGTGTATTTGTTTGTATAATATTTAGTTTTACACTTCTATAATGCACTTTTCATACAAGAACCAAACTGAGTTAATTCAATATATATCGTTTTAATATCTTGCATTTATTCACATAATAACGACAATGTAAATACTTTGCTAAAGAACCAAAAGAAATAAACAATATAGAATATAGAATGAACTCCAATTTTAGGAAACAAATATTTACATTTTAAGTTTCCGTGTAGARCTCCTCCATTGATGGCCTTTGGTCGCACTACAAAATATACGCGTTTGAAAAGAATTTTGCGGTATAGTACTTCTTTTTATACTTTTCCAGCAGTTAAAGCGAGTACACCACGTAAGCAGCAGTGAATATCCTTTGTAGCTTTAGCATCATAAGTGCTTTTATATTTAAGTTGTTAGTTTTACAGAGAAACTTTTAAGGTGCTGCCGAATTTCATATTTATAATATTTCATACTATAGAGAAATATTGTATGCCACAAACTTCTAATTGACGTTGGGTGGCAACTTGCAACAGACCACCCTACTCTAGAAAGAAAATCACAAGAAAAAAGCATTAGCAGCAACAGCAGCAAGGGAAGTAGGTACGTAGAATTACAGATATCGCGTTAAGCCCCTCATACGGCCTATACAGTTTATGAAATTTATTATTATTTATTATATTATGAAATTTACGAAAATCGAAACACTAATATAAATAAAGGGATGCGCTGAAATGGTGTGTCCTCACTATTAATGGGCTAGAGCTATTTAGAATAGCACCCCCGATTTCGGGGTTAAAATGGGTATATACGGACAGAGGAGGAGATATACATATATTTATATATATACATATCTTTAAATTTATTTAATTAATGCATTCACAAGTTAACACTAAGTTCATTTATATTAGTACAAAGAAGGGTTAAGTTATCCTCCATTCTTTTACATTGTTATCCTAAGAGCAATGGTCGGCATTTCTTAGCACAGTTGTACAAACCAACTTCACACATACGCTTACGCTCTATCGTTCAGTCGTTGTCGGACCAGCCATAGATTACTTGATACGAGAACTTAAGAAAATTCCCCAATTTCGTGGATAAAATGGGTATTTGCATAGAGGATGTTCTCCAGTAAGAATAAATAAACATATAGCAGCATATTATACAATGTTATATCCACTAACATATTACTAAATAGCCTTTACACATTTATTAAATAGTGCACAAATAGTTCTAAATCTTAATTAAATTTTTCTTATATTTTATGGATTTACACAATAAGAAAATGGTTACATGTAAACAAATAGTAAGCGTTACATACCCGTACTTTACAAACGAACTAAAATAAATAAAATGGGGAAGATTAGACATCAAATACAATAATCTAATACCTAGGAATTTACATGATAAAAACTTAAATATTTAATTTTTAACTTCGTTGCTTTTATTGCTTAAATTTTGTTGGTTTTACTTCAGGTCAATATATATTTTTTCCATTCGTTTATGTTTATATTCTATGTTAAAAATTCAAATAGTTTTAGGGTGTCGCATTGTTAAAATTGTCTTTAACAAAAAACAAAAAAAAAAGTTTTGTCACCCGTCATTGGAACTCGAACGGTTGGGTACATGCACCATCCTTATGGTTTTTTATGTACTACACGTTATTTAATTATAAATATTTAATATCATTTTATTTTGCAAATTCACACAAATTCACTCGGAATCTTCAGTTATGGTAATAACATGAAAGCGAAAAAGGAAAGGGACTTTGTTTCAAATGAAATAGTAAAAATTCCCGTTAAAGAAAATTGAGTGTTAAAGAGAGTTATGCCCTTCATGACATTATTAGTTTTTCGCTTAAAACTATTTTCTGAATTGGCGCTTAAAATGTTCATACGTCTTTTGCACTGAACTACTTTCTGCATTGGCGGCCTTCGGTCGCCCTTCAAACTAAAAAGTAACCCTAATCGATCTAACACGGGATTGTTCATAGTTCTTTCGCGTTGAACCAGATTCTGCGTTGGCATTTACCAAGCTAAATGAAACACTGTAAGAAGTAACAAACCCATCACATGATTATGATTTCTGTATTAGTCATTTTGTTATTGCGTAAATCTGACAAATTTAATAACGATTTAATGCTTTTTGTGCACTATTAAATAATAAATAAATGTGTAAAAAGTTTTTCGTGATGTGCTAGTGGCTATAATAATATGAGTGTAAAATTTATACTGCATGGAAAAAATTGCGTGCTTTAATGTAAATTATTGGATTTTAAATGCGAATATATCAATCATCCTCTATTTGCCC